CCATGCTTTTGGGATGCATCTGGTGTTCATGGATTTTGTGTACAGTATTACCAGCCATTGGAGTTGTCTGGGGCCTAAGTGATTGAGGAATTCTGGGGAATACCATCTCTGGCTACGTTATTTTGGCTGTCACACTTTATATATTTTTTGTTGTTGTTGACGTGTGACGTGCTGTGTGCGTCTCTCATTCTCAAATCAGGACGTGGCGGTGGCTGCGGGAGGGGGGGGATCTCTGTGCTCCCGTTTTTTTTTACCGAGCCCACGCACGTGCGGTGTGGTGGTGTCGTCTTTATAATTATAATTTCACGTTCGTTTGTTTTGTACGCGCCGGAGTGTTTCTCGTGTGTGCGTGTGTGTGGTGTTGTTTTTTTAAAGTGGATTCTGTGTTTGTTTTTTTATATATTCGTCGTCGTTTTTTTGCCGTCTAAGAAGTTGCGTGTGCATGCCGCGTCGCGTCAACGCTATAACCGCCATAAGTGACGTCGTTCCCTTGTTACTCGCCTGTACTCCCACACAATTGTAACAAGTTTATGCAGTATAAACCCTGCGCCGGTGGTCGTTGTGGTTGTTTTGGTGGTGGTGGTGGCGTGGTTAGAGAGAAACTGTTCGATCTCGCCAAAACAAAACAAAATCCGTTCTATTTCCCTCCCAGGGCCGTATAGTGTATAGTGTCGTGTGTAGCGTGTAGTGTATAGTCTAGTGTGTATAGTATAGTGTGTAGTATATAGTATAGTGGAGTGTGTATAGTGTGGTGTGTATAGTAGTGTGTAGTGTATAGTAGAGTTTGAGTATGGATCCCTCGGTCACGAAAACTTCAAATCTATAATGAATCGCCTCTACGGGGAGGGTTTCCACACTTCTGTTAGAGTTTTTAACAGACAACGGGACAAGAAGGCTAAACTAATCGAGTCACTAACCTTCCTCAAGAGATGCCGCGACAACAAGGTAATACCTATCGCATTTACACTCACTTCTGCTGCTGTCACTTCTAACGCTAAAGTATTTTGCTTTAAAGCCAGACTATCACTAATCTCAGGGAGAAGATTGCTCCGGTTTGAACTTGATTATTTAGACAAGACTCTTATACAATCATACCTAATATTAACAGAAAAAATGTCCACTTCATATTGAGACCCTGTTGACAACATGACAGTCTCTGCTAATTCAATGTCAACCAAATGTAAAGTTAACTTGATCGCTAAATTCAACCTCCTGTCAAAAAAGAAGCCAGATCCACAAGCTAAAAAGTTAGATGTTAAAAAGATTGTCAGCAATCAGAGTAACATCCCAATTACTGACAGCCTGAAATCGGTACTAGCTAAAGGGTTGAATTTCGCAGTCACCCCTAAGCATATCCCAGTGGATGATATAATCGCCCAGGTCAACGTAGCCCTCAAAGGCTTGGGACACATCCCAAAAGACGTTGCTAGAGCTGAAATTGCCACCAACCTTAAAAATGCTAAGAAACCCATTAGTAACATCAGCAAAGACGAGCGCTCTGAACTCGCAAATTTGCAAAAGAGGGATGACATAGCCATCCTCTCGGCTGACAAGGGCAATGCTACGGTCATGGATAAAACCACATACAACAAAATCCAGGATCTTAATGATGGCAGTTACACCAAAATCAACAGATCCTACGAACAGCCTGACGACAAAAAACAATAATTTTAGCTGTTCGACTTCTCTAATCGAACCAGTCAAACGGCTCTTCCTAAAACCTGCTACTAGACCACCCAGATTCTATGGTCTTCCCAAGATCCATGAAGATGGTACTCCACTTCGGCCCATCGTCTCCACTATCAACTCACCGACCTACAAACTGGCCCGTTTTCTGTCTGATACCTTGCTTCCATTCGCTGGCAAGACTCCCTCAGCAGTACATAACTCAGCTCACTTGGTCTCTCTAATCAAGGGCATTTCACTGTCCCCAGATGATTTGCTCGTCAGCTTTGATGTGGTTTCTCTGTGCACCAAGGTTCCTGTGCCTGACACGTTAGCAATAATTAATTATTTAGTCCAACACGGACTGAACCCTGATGTTCCTATTCTGGCTAGGCACTGCCTTACCAAAACTTTACCTGGAATGGCACTTTCTACAAACAATGAAGGTACCCCCATGGGATCCCCATTATCACCAGTGATAGCGAATGTTTTCATGGATAAATTTGAAACAGATGCCATCAAGACATCCACCCTACGTCCTTCCTTGTGGAAGAGATATGTGGATGACACTTTAGTAATTTGGCCACATGGCCGTCCAGCACTGGACCAATTTCTCAACCACATTAATTCCATACGCCCATCCATCAAATTCACCATGGAAGTGGAGAAGGATGGTACGCTTCTGTTCCTGGATGTTTTGTTTGAAAAGAGACCTGGTGGCTCTCTGGGACACTGTCTACAGGATAGCCACCCACAGATTCCTATCTGAAACCTGATTCCCACCACCATCCGGCACAGAAGAATTCCCTCATTAAAAACACTACACCATAGGGCCCACTGCCTCTCCGACCAACACCACCTAGCCAGTGAACTGGAACACGTACACCAGGCCCTTAAGATGAATGGATATTCGGACCGCATTATCCGCAAAGCTGTTTCTCCAACGATGGAGAAACAACCCCCTGAGACAGCGACCAAAACCATCATGTTACCATACATAGCAGGCGTTACCAAAAAGATTTCCAAAATCTTAAACACAAGATCCAGGTCCGATTCAGTACAGGACACAAAATCCGTGATCTAATCCCATCTGTGAAGGATGTCGTTCCTGACATGCAATATCCTGGAGTCTACAAACTAAGTTGCACCTGTGGTGATTGTTACATTGGGGAAACGAAACGTCATGCCTCGGACTGGGTTCGCAAGCACAAGGCAGATCTGAAACACGGCAGAACCAATACCTCGGCAGTGGCTGACCATTGCTATAACGCTGTGGGCTCTCGTGATATTGTTTTCTCTGAGACCAAGGTGCTCTGCAAACCTTCGGGCTACGATCAAAGGTTTGTTCATGAAGCCATCCAGTTAAATAAACAGACATAACTTAAACCTAGAAAATGGATACAAATTGAGCAATCATTGGTAGGATGTTATTAACCAGGTACCACCTTAACTGCTTTCTAGTTTGTGTTCATATCCGCATCTCAAGTGTTCTTTAGCCTTCCTGCTCCTAGCCCCGCTCACTTCTCAGCCCCGGCATTCTGTCTTACTGTCCGTGCTTGCGGAACACCACCTTCCATACCCAACACCCCCACCCTCTCCAACCCCCCCTCCCTGGCTCCTCCCCCCCCTCTCAACTATATAGCCCCCTTGTTACAAGCAGCTCTTTTGCCCGCCTTAGTTTATTGCTGATTGTCCCGCCTGATGACGGACGCTTGTGTTGCGCCCGAAACGTGATTGGATTTAATTTGTTTATATCTACGTGACTTTATCGAAAGAACCAAATAATATGGTGTGGTGTGTATAGTTTAGTGTATAGTGTGTGTATAGTATAGTGTAGTGGGTAGTGTATAGTGTCGTGTGTGGTGTGTAGTATACCCCTTTGAGCGCTACCCCGTACAGCGCTGGTTTATTATTGAGATGTTTGTTCTCGGGCTATTTTTTGTTACGTAAAAAAATATTTTTTTATACAGTACAGTATATCTAACAAAATTAATACGAGGGTGAAAATCCGTACTTGAGTTAGTGGGGTGTATGATCTCATCGAAATAATGTAGTATCGCGCCCTTTTATAATAGAGGTTTTTTTGGATTTGATTGCATAAATATATAAATGTGTCATTAAAACTCGGCACCACCCGACACCCCGACACAGCCAACTAGTAAGGGTTGTCACGTCAACAGAACATGGCAGTTCTTCACTAGTACATCACACCGGTGTGTTGAAGAGCCAAGCCACAACATTTACAAACTGAGTACGACGTTTCGCCAGTAATTACAACTAGCTTCATCAGGCGACAGCCAGATCTGTGGAGAAGTCCACCTGTTTCGTTCCTTATATAGAAGCGTTGATGTGGTGACCACGCTTCTGCACTCTTGCGCAAAGTGAGGGTGGGGGGTGATTACTGAGGCAACTTACATTATGCATGTGCATTATGCGAGCCCTTTGAACTTGTCCATCCTGTCTGTTGTGTGTATTAAAATAGCCGTACCAATGGTAATCCCTATTGAAGTATGCTGCCCTTTATAGGCATGCATTTAAATAATGTATTATTTGATGATTCGCTTCCACGCAGCACTAAGGCGGTAGCTATCTGAACGCTTAAAGTTATTTTTATTTCAATTTCGATAGTTTCTCTAATTAGTCTTGACTAGTAGTCGCTAGTTTTGCACATAACTTCAACATTATCAAAATCAATTGAGTGTCCTTGTTGGCACGCGTGTTTTGCTACTGCTGACAGTGTATTTGGGAGACTTTAATATTTATCTGTTCTTTTAATAACTGGTACAAAGGTGAACTGGTTGGATGGGTTTTGCGAGTTGAGATTATTTAGAAATGCGTTTAGTGTATCTTTGCCGTGTGGCCAGACCACCAATGTGTCATCCACATATCTAAACCAAGCAGATGGTTTTAGTGTGCTTGAAGCTATTGCTTTTGTTTCAAAATCTTCCATGTGCAAATTCGCTATCACACGAGACAAAGGAGAGCCCATTGCTGTCCTTCCTTTTGTTTATAGAAGTCACCTTGCCAAAATAAGTTCTTTAGACACTTGAAAGGGCTCACAATGCTTGATGTACATTGCCTCGTTAATCCCCCCAACTCCACGTTACGCAAGAGCGCAGAAGGTTGGTCATCACATCTACGCCTCTATATAAGGAATGAAACAGGTGGACTTCTCCACAAATCTGGCTGTCACATAATGAAGCTAATTTGGAATTACTGGAGAAATGTCGTACTCAGATTGTAAATGTTGTGGCTTGGCTATCCAACGAATTGGCCACGTTCTGTTTACGTGACAACTCTTACTAGTTGGCTGTGCCGGGTGGCGGCAGGTTTTAACGACAAATTTATATATTTACGCGATCTAACCAAAAAACCTCTAATGGATATTGGTCGCGAAAGCCTCCTACTTGTTAAACTCGTGCCCTTTTACTCTCTCCGTCCTCAGCCAATGAGCGAGTGCTATTGTACTCGAGTTGTCCAATGAATACTTTCCTCGAACACGGGGGAGGGGGGGAGTCAAGTAAATTATTGGATTGTACCATTCAAATACGGGGAGAGGGGGAAGTGAGTCACAGATTGGACTGCACCACTCACACTGGGAGAGGGGGGGGGTAGTCAAGGCAATGATTGGGTTATACCATTAACACTGGGAGAGGAGGGAGTCAAGTCAGATTGGACTACAACACTCACACTGGGAGAGGGGGGGGGGGTAGTCAAGGCAATGATTGGGTTATACCATTCACACGGGGAGAGGAGGGAGTCAAGTCACAGATTGGTCTGCAGCACTCACACGGGGAGAGGAGGGAATCAAATCACAGATTCGACTGCACCACTCAGAAGGGGAGAGGGGGAAGTCAAGTCACAAATTGGACTGCACTACACGGGCAGACGGGTAGGGGAATTTAAGCCAAAGATCGGACTGCACCACTCGCACACGGGGAGATGGGGGTGTCTAGTCAGAGATTGGACTCAACCACCAGGCGCAAACTATCGCTCCCACCCTGTCTCCCAGAGCTGCCAAGTTCACAATATCAGGTCGCACCATGCACTGGTGAGTACAATGTATATTTTATTTTTAAATGTACCATTAACAATATAAATCATACAGTAATAGGTTTTTACCCTTTTATCTGGCACAAAAACTGACACCTTTATACAAAGGATCATGTTTGCAATAACCACAACACAAGTAGTCAAAATGCAAACAAAAAAGACAACTCTGATAATAATATTGACACTGTCCTTGAATTTGATTGGTCCACACCCGAGACGGCTTTTATTAGAGCCCAGTCTCCACTGGTGTTGGACCAGAAGACGCCAAAAAGGCATACAAATCACAAACAGCGCACCATCAGAGTATTGAGAGCTCGGGGTAAGCACTTACATTGAGACCTCCTTTGCCGTATTATCCAATAGGCCACAGTAGGAACTGCCTCGGGCCTACTCACTCACCCAGCCACTCATTCACCCATTAGGGCCGTATTATCCAAGAGGCGACACTAGTAGGCACTGCCTGGGGCCTACTCACTCACGCAGCCACTGACTCATTTACCCACCAGGGCCGTATTATCCAAGAGGCGACACTAGTAGGCACTGCCTCGGGCCTCCTCACTCACCCAGCTACTCATTTACCCACCAGGACCGTATTATCCAATAAGCCACAGGAGCAGGCACTGTGCCTAGGGCCTACGAAAAAAAAATCCGCCATGTTTTTTGTTTGTATAATGAAAACATTTAACCAAGATATCTTCTTGAATACACTTTTATATATAGCAAGGATAGGCAACAGTGGTTATACGAAAAGGCAGAGTCATGTCAATAGTTTTTTTTCATTAGGTGAGAGACATCAACACCGGTGATTTACTTTTCGAAAATGTTTATTGCAAAGTTAGCAAAAATAAACATCTCCAAATGGTGTTTTTTGCACAATCTATTTTTTGCCACTTTAATCATTATTGGCTGCTCATTGCAATTTCTTTACAGTATTAACAAGTCGTTCACTGGTGAGGCATATTACACCTCAAATAGCTGTTGTATCTTTAGGCTTAAACGAAACTAAAGCAATATGGTGCTTGCCATGTTGTAGTCGTGTCAGAACATTTAATTTGTTATCATTGAAAATTAACGGCATCCTTTTAAAGGTACGTCATCCAATATGATAATCACAGTAAATCTTTCGCTTGTATTTTTAAGCTTACCTTCTATTTTTTCTCAATAATTTCAAATTAAATTTGCTGATCTGCGGCACACAGCGCGCTCACATCGAATGAGGGCACAGACTAAATCATGAACCGTATTAGGAGTGACATTTGTCCAGCGGCTGGATGAAGCACCGCATGAAGCAAGCGAAGTGACAGTGGCGGTAGCAGTGACATGGGGCAGCAGTGCCAAATGTTACCACTGAAAGCCTATGATACAGAAGTGCCTACGGCCTACAAGAACTTTAATCCGGCCCTCGTCTCCCTCACTCAGTGGGTTTCACTCTCTTGAGCGAGAGTAGGTGGTGAGTGTGCGTGTGTTGAGAGTGAGTGGCCAGTGAAAGTGTTGGGGGTGAGAACGCGTTGTCTGGTGGCAGAATTTGTGGCGAGAATGTCCAGGATAAAATGGGTGGCTGGCGAGCGTGAATGTCAGGCCCCAGATTGAGGCTAAACACAGCAAGTTGGCACAGTTAAAGGGATCGGGGGGCGGGGGGGGCACACGTTGGTGCATCGGCCAGCCATCTCAGTCTGTCAACCGATGGCGCCTTCAGAGTCTGTCCTGTGACCTGCATCTAGCCTGGCACAGTAGGGGGGGGCACAGGTGGTTCATCGGCCAGTCATATCAATCAATCCATGGCGCCTGCAGGGTATTTCCCGCGACCTCTTGCACCTCGCCTGGCATAATAGGGGGGCACACGTGGTTCATCGGCCAGTCATCTCAGTCAACCCATGGCCCATTTTTTTAAATATTCTGTGCAATTGTGAACAAGAACCATATCAGATATTAGCACATCTATTCGGCATAATCATTGGTTCACTGCAGCTCAAAGACTCACTCCTACAGGGCGTGCGGTGAAGATAGGAGATGTCCATGTGCTCGGCATTTGAAGGCCTGGAGACCAGAATCGGTGATTTCACCGACAATGTGCTCAGGGAGGCAGGTCACATATCCGTACAGCAGAGTGAAGGGAGCTTCTGTCCAGGGAGAATGTTCTGGCAACTGAGGGGCGGGGGGGGGTAAGGGCGTGGCTTGGCAGGGTTCTGCTTAATCGGGTGGCACGGCATTTTTCATATGGGGGTGGAAGCATGGTCTGAAGGTCTGGGGGGCAGTGGTTGGTGTGCATTTTGTCCAAGACTTGGACAGAAAAAACTTGTCGACCGCGATGCAGGCTGCGGATGGTGAGTTGTGGTGCTGCCGGTGGCTTCATAAATACCACTTATTTTCAGCGCCTTCCTCTGAATGTTGTCGAGAAGGTTGAGGTGAGTTGATGGGGTGTTCATCCAGCATAAAGAGGCGTACTCCATGACACTGCGGACTTGAGCTTTTTAGGCTGTGGCTCGGCCTTCTGTGCCAAGTTGTTGGCCACCTTTCTCAATACACCCACAGTTTCTGTCCTGCTCTGATGGAGATGTTGGTGAGATGTTTTTGCCCATTTCAGTTTGCCATCAATGATAACACCAAGGAGACTGGAGCTTGTTGGTTGATCCTAGCTGACAGTCACCAAATGCAGATCCGGCTTGGATGGAATTCTCTTCTGAGATAGTGTCGTGGTCTGGCACTTTGATGGTTCGAAGGCGTTCTTTTATTTATATGACCAGATGTTCATTTGATGAAGATCCCCGTTCAGGCTCGCTGCCACTGCATTGCTTTCAGCAGGTGATTTTATTGGAGCATAGAGGGTTGAGTCGTCAGCTTAGAGGGTACAGCTGGTTCTCCCACGCATCAACCAGGTCGTCAATGAAGATGGAGAAGAGAAGTGGACCGAGAATTGATCCTTGTGGTATAGAGGCATTAATGGGAGGTGCTGAGGCCTGGCGGGATAATACAACTCTGATGGGTCTGTTGGAGAGGTAGCTCTGCAGCCATGTCAGAAGCTGTCAAGATGCCCCCTTGGAGCAGAGTTTGGCACAATAGGCCATTGTGCCACACTTTGTCAAAGGCTCCTTTTATGCCCAGAGTTATGAAACGAACTTCTTCCCCCTTGTCGAGTGAGGTTTTCCACCTTTGAGAGAGGATGTTTAGAAGGCCCGCTGTGTTGTGACCTGGTCTGAATCCAAATATCTTGCAGGAGATCAGGTTGCTATTGAGCATGTACCTGTGACGTTGGTTGTTCACTGCTGCCTCCATCACCTTGCTAATGATGCTGAGCAGGGATATTGGGTGATGCTTTGATGGGTCAGCTTTGGAGTCCTTGTGTATTGGGGTTACTGAGATCAGCTTCCATTGCTTTGGGAATACTCCACTTGAGAAGCAACAGTTGAAGAGGCGACACAGGGGGGCTTGCAAGTCCACTACTGCATTCCTTGAGAACTTTGGTGGGATTAGATCTGGGCCAGTGGCTTTGTTGGGCTTGAGTCGCTTTAGGAGCCTGTTGATGTCTTTGGATTTGAAGGTGATGCTCTCAATTGAGCAGGTAGTGCTTGGCTGGATATATGGTGCTGGATATTTTGCATCTTGGAGATGGCGTTTCTTTGCAAAAGTCTCAGAAAACTTCTGCTTTATCCCAGGCTGTGATATGGGCAACATCGTTGTGCACAATGACAGGGATGTCAGAGTTTGCAGATCTTCCAGACAGGCAGTTGACGAGCCTCCACCATTTCTTACTGGTTAAGGTCCTATCAGTAAGCTCCTTCATGCGTTTGATGTTGTAGTTAATTCCAGCCTGCTTCTCAGCCTGGTTGTAGGAGTGTCTTGCTTGGGAAAAATTCAGCTTGTTGACGGCAGTGTTGGTTTTCTTCAGCTGGCAGAAGAGGCGTCGTGTCTTCCTTTGTAGCTCTCCCGCACATCTCGTCAAACCATGCCTTATCTCCGGGCTTTTTTATGATAATTTTTGCTGGGAGTGTATAGCTCCATAACATTTACAGATGATGTTAGTGACCTCGCCACATGTCATCTCAGGGTCTTTCACTGAGAAAATTCTTGACACCTGCTGCACCTAGCCTGGCACGGTAGAGGGGCACAGGTGGTGCATCGGCCACTCATCACAGTCGGTCAACCCATGGCACCTGCAGGGTCTGTCCCGTGACCTCCTGCACCTAGTCTGGCACAGTGGGAAGCACAGGTCGTGCACCTGCCAGTTATCTAAGTAAATCAACCCATGGCACATGCAGGGTCTGTTCCTTTACCTCCTGCCATCAGCATGAGCCTTCAACATTTCACGTGACAGCCTCAAAGTGAATCTAGCATGGCACAAGCACCGTGGTAAAGTCACCATCAATTAGTGGCAAATGGCGGTTGTCCCTTTTGGACGTGTGGGACTGGGCGTGTTGCTTTCAGCTTGCCAGAAAACAGCTCCTCCACTAGCCAGGGATCTCTGGAATAGGTCTGAACTGCATAGCCCAATGCAGCCATTGCAGCTGCATGAGCCACACGTTCTGAACCTCACCCATTATCTCCTCGGCATCAGGAGGAAGGGACGATGCCAGTTCTAGCAGCTCCAAACGATGATAAAATACTCGCTCGCAACTTTAATTAGCAAGCTGAGACAGGACCATTGTGGGTGTGAATGGGTTCATAGGTGGACGCCTACCATCGCAGTAGGATAATAGCCGGTCGATCTTACCGATGGCAAGCCACTGGTGTCGTCTTTATTCTGCACCCTACTAACTTGTGCAGTCAAAGATGGCCATACTAATGAAAAACGAGAAAAAACCCCACAAAACACGGCTATACTGCAACTCACACCGCCCTCGCCGTCCAAAACTCTGGAAAGAAAATGGCTCCACCCCTTTTACCATAACAACAAAAGTAAGTTGTGAATGTACGTAATTGTTTTGTAAGATCATTTGGTTTCATTTTATCTCCTGGGCGAGTCACCCATGAAAAAGAGCTTTATACTTCAATTGATAATTT